TTGTTTTTGGATTATTTTTGATAAACATTCACTGGCATGTAGCGGCCCTGATATCGATAAATTCTACACGCAATATAACCCGATTTTAGATGCTTGGTTAAAACTTTACACGAAAAAGCCTCGATATCCGGGCATTTACTCTTACACTGAACTGAAAATAGCATCGTCTAAACGTGTATGTCTTGGCTTCCGGGTAAGTTTATCAACATTTATACTCAATTGAAAGAGCAGTCGTGCATATATCGTGTACCAGTTTGATTGTTTTATATGTGTGTGTATTTATAATATGATAGTCTAGTAATACCGTGTCGTTAGAACAAGTGCTAGATATCGAACTGATGACCTGAAATTAGATTATTGGACTGATCGCGCATCTGATATTAGATGATTAATTTGCATTGAATCTGATATTAACTTGCAACCCAATACTACAGTAAATACCATGATTTTACATTAGAATGATAACACGGCCTCATATTCTAATTCATTATACGTCCATTGCAGGCCAAAAATGTTTCAATGGGGATATTGTAATGCACACGAGAATACATTCGATTCGTATATATTGACACCCCAGTTGTCCGAAACCCAGTTGTCCGAAACCCAATTCCCCGAAACCCAGTTGTCCGAAACCCATTACTCCGAAAAATAAAGTCATAATTTACCAGAGAAAGGGGGGGGGGGCGTAGCTTACTTAAGCTTACGTCAGTTTCATGCCATGTATTTGGCCAAATTAATGGCATGGACGCATTCTGATATTCATAGATCTCTCTCTCACTTTGAATTGCATCCATTGCATGGCGTTACCAGAATGGCAGGAACGGGAGATTTATTTTACATTTTGATTCTAAAAAAGGTTATTAAAACACAATATATATTACGGAACAGTTTATCTTATCTTCTTCAATCTCTTTTATATAGGCAAAATAAAATGAAACATTTTGAAACAGATAAAATAAGGTATAGAACTTTAAGAATAAAACAGTATACAAATTACGTTGTCAAAATATTACGTCGCATTTAATTTCTTAGTCTCAGTCTCTTATCAAATCGTAAAAGAATAAAACATTCTAAACTTAATCACTTGGGATTTATGTTTCGGCATTCGTTTCAGGCATTTGTTATTTATGTTCTTCTCCTGAAATGTATTTGTTTGACAATAATCAGAGAAAGTGCGTATACGTATAAATATGCCACGCAAACAAACGGGTGTGACTTCAATTTCTTGTCTGTCTGAGGACGTATTGGGAACGAGGTAGAATTAAAGAATTCTTATGAACAAATGTATTGGATAAGTTAATTTCTGATGGATCTGGATAAAATATATTTCAAAACTTTGTCAACACTAGATAACTTCATTTAGGCAGATATAGTATCTTGATATATTTGGCTATCATGCGTTTAAAATACGTTCCTAAAACTATGAAGACGTTGGGTGAGAAATATTGCTATTGTACGTTCGAAAAGTATTTGGTTGTATTTTGTAGTTCTCAAGTTACCCATGAACTTTCGTGGGCTAATTAACGTCTTGACTCAGCATATTTAGCCTAATTTTGCAATGATGTCAACGTGATTCAAATGTTATGCTGTCGTGATTCGCAGAGGTTGCGACAAGATTCGTTTTAAGAAATTGTATTTTTTGATAAGATCCCCTAATTTTCGGAGAACTTGGTTTCAGACAACTGGGTTTCGGAGAATTGAGTTTTGGACACCTTTTTTTACACCTTGTGCTACTGAAAACTCTACTTGGTATAGGATAAAACAGTTATGTACGGTCGGTTTGGATATTGGGTTCATCCCTCGTGAGATATGCACATCTACTTTCTGTCCCTACGGTCCCTCAGGTAGATATGCATATCTCCCTCTGGAAAAACCCCGCATTCAAAACCTCCCAGTACATAACCCGTATTTATCCCATGGTTACAATGATATAGATCGAATATCACGTGAAGATATAATTGATACGTGGATGAAGATATCATATTTTAGCAAACAATTCCCAAATCATCGAATATCACTTTTGAAACCATCGAATATCACTTTTGAAAGGTGATATTCGATGGTTTCAAATTGATATTCGATGGTTTCAAAAGTGATATTCGATGGTTTTGATTTTTTCAATTTTTTTTATTAATTCAGCAAAACGATTGTTTATGAATACCTAGCAAGAGCTCAAAAAGTTCAATCATCTATTTATCTCAAAAAGACCTCAAAAACTGAGCTTGAATTAGAAATATGTCTTCTAAAATCTTCCTCGCCTGGACCTGATGGGATTCTACCATCACTTATTAAGCCTGTAAGACAGTTTTTAATTGATCCGCTCTTGTATATATTTAACTTATCTTTTAAATCTGGTATTTTCCCAGACGCCCTCAAATTGGCCAAAGTAACACCTGTATTTAAAAAAGGAGTCACTACAAATCCTTCGAACTATAGACCAATTTCAGTTTTATCGGTATTTTCTAAATTGTTAGAAAAGCTCATGCACGCCAAACTCACTGGTTTTTTAGAACGTTTTGAAATTATTTTTACTTATCAATTTGGATTTCAGAAATTCAACTCTACCTACATGGCCATTTTATATTTCATTGAACAAATTCGAAAATCAACTGATTTGGGGAAAACGAGCATTGGCATAACATTAGATTTTTCCAAGGCCTTTGACACTATTAATCATGACATTTTGATACAAAAACTTGAATATTATGGCATCAGAGGAATAGCTAAGTCCTGGTTTGAAAGTTATTTAAAAGACTGCAAACAATATGTCACCATTAACAATTATGAATCTAAACAATCATCTCTAAATTGTGGTGTTCCGCAGGGCTCGGTACTTGGACCACTATTATTTATTCTTTACATAAAAGATCTGCCTTTTGTTGACCCTAATCTAAAATTTATTATGTTTGCTGATGACACCAATCTTCTTGATAGTGATTATGATTTAAATGAACTTATGACTAGAACTAATGCAAACTTGAATTCAATAGATGACTGGATAAAAGCAAACAAACTTTCACTTAATATTGGCAAAACCAATGCTATTCTATTTGGACCCCCAAAAAATCAAACAAATCTGAATCTCAAAATACGCAATGAGAACATAAATTTCCGGGATAAAATTGACTTTCTTGGAATTATTATTGATAAAAACTTGAAATTTAAAGAGCACATAAAATCTATTGAAACAAAGATTTCTCGCGTCATTGGTTCTCTTTATCACATTAAACATCTACTTCAAATAGACAGTTTCAAAACAATTTACTACTCATTGATACACTCTCAATTAAATTATTGCAACATAATCTGGGGTAACACATTTAAATCATTTTATGATCGTCTACATAAACTGCAGAAACAATTCTTAAGGCTAGCTTTAAATAAGGATAGACCTTCTCACTCCGCTCCCTTATTTGAAGATCTTAACATATTAAATATTTTTGATGTCAACAGATATTGTACTGGTCAGTTCATGTACAAAATCTTTAATAAGCACCCCAGTCTTCCAAAAAATCTATTTCAAGACTTGTTTGATATCAACATTAATATTCATCATCATTACACAAGACAATTGCATTATTTTCATATCCCTAAATGCTCTAAACTTTCCCTTCGCTATCTAGGTCCTAATCTTTGGAATGCTCTACCACACGATATTAAAAAATGCTCCACTCTAAATATTTTCAAATCTTCATATAAAAAACTACTCATCTATCGATAATGTATAATACCAATATCATACTATACTGTTGATTTTATACTGATACCTGATTTTTGTAACATTTTTACATTGTACATCCTTAGATTAATTGTTAATACCATTTTTATATACCTACATGTAACATAATATAAGTGTTTTCTTTTATATGTAGTCTAGATGTCATTTTAATGATTTCTGTTAGACCGCAACATATACCCACTAGGGTGTCTAGCGGCTTGTTTTTATAGTGTATATTATATAAGAATTATGAAATAAATTGAATTGAATTGAATTGAATTATATATTTATTATATATTTTTATTTTTTGGGATCCTGTTTTTACGGCGTTCGCATTAAATACAAACCACTCTGTTACGTCACGTATATGACGTTCGTTGAATTATCGCAATCAAAATGTCAGACGAAATGGAATTTCCATTACAATTTATCTGACTATTCAATGTTCGCTGGATAATAATTCCCAATGGGATAAACGGACAATCCTATAGTTTTTCAAAAATATCACTTATATCCACTCATGGATATCAGTATCTTCACTCATTCGCTGCGCTCACTCGCGAAGATATCAATATCCACTCATGGATATAAGTGATATTTCAGAGCCATAGGATATTCCTATATTATTCCATAGTAAGCATGATATCCATAGGATAACATGTCAAAATAAAAACGGTATTTTTGAAATCAGTGGTAAAATATGATATTTTTGGCAAATTTTCACTTAACCATAGCATACGGTGTTTTAGCCATGACATGCGGCGCCGTATGCCATGGTTTATGGATTTTTGCTACTTCAGACTCAAAACGAGGCTAAGTGTCAATATCGCCGTATCGTTTTGAAAATTCGTTTTAGATCACTTAATTCCCGAAGATTCTGATGATGACTTTAACTATGGAATATAAAGAACATCCTATGATTTACTCGTGATATGATTTTAATCCACTCATGGATGTTGATACATGTATCTGCACTCTCTCGCTACGCTCACTCGTGCTGATATCATATATATCCATTCGTGGATAAAAATCATATCACTCATAAATCATAGGATATCCTCTATTTAAGATCTGATATTCGATAGTTTAAAAGTGATATTCGATGGTTTGTAAATTGTTTGATAAAATATGATATATTGATCCACATATCAAATATATCATCATGTGATATTCGATCTATATCCTCCTTGCAACCATGGGATAAAGCTTTACGTCCCGCTCCAAGCGGGCAGATGTAGTATATCTGCCCGCTACGTCATAATCGCCGCTTGCATATTTGTTCATAATTTGTAACGTTCGCGGAATGACTGTAAACGGCAATGGAGAAAACACAGACAATCAGGGTCTGTTTGATAGTTAAAAAAAGGGAAAGGGCATCCACTTTATCAATAAAAAGTTCGAGAAAATAAATATGGGATTATTTGAGAGAACATGAAAATCCGCCCACGGCCAAGAAAACAAAACTGGACATGAATATTCTAAAATATTTCCACGATTTAACAATGTGAACCAGATGACCAAGATTGGTATGGGATAAACATATTATCATATAGTCACACCCTTATAGTGAAAGATGAGCGATATAAGATTGGAGACATACAAAAATTACCAATGGAACTTTTGAATGACAACTCATCAATGCGAGATTTGGACACGGTATTTTTGTACAATTCGTCCACATCCCCCCTTGGCCCAGATAGCTGCACACCCTTTGAATGCGACGGCACGATGTTCCGTAGTGTGACGCAATACCTAGCCTATAATAGAGCTATCGTAATGAAGGATCAGCGTACTGCAGACAAGGTGCTACAATCATCTGACCCCAGACAAATCAGAAGGCTTATATCTGAAATCAGAGGAAGTGATGGCCAATCATGGAGAAAAGTAAGTGACAGCCATGTGATAAAAGCTACGGCTATTAAATTCAGTGTGCACAAGCAAATCAGAGCTCTTTTAATGAGAACTGGGTCCAAAACCATAGGAGAGTGTAACCCACATGATATGATTATGGGCACAGGATGTAGTTTAAATGATAAAACTGCTAGTGACACAAGTGCCTGGAGAGGTCAAAATCTTGGTGGCAACGCTCTCATGGAAACGAGAAACCATATCAGGAAGATTGACAAGGCATAACACAAGCACATAGCAATATATACAATATACAGTGATACATTGAACCAGGATAGTGCGAGCATTAGTTGGTGCATCTATCCCACGAGCAAAGTGCGATATGCCGAGTTTTTTACAAAAATTCTTTGATCATTATAGGAACAAAATACGAGCACTACAGATTTCACAAACAAAATGTTGTTATTGTTTTGATAGCGCACTGACGTCCGCGCGATGGCAAAATCTATACACAGTAGATCAGTTATGCTGAAATCGACCGCTGTAATGCTCGTATAATGTGCTCTATAAACCACTAAATGGTATGTATAACGCGTGTAGATTTTTTAAGCGGTCAAAAGTAAGCGAATGGAGTGCTTTGGAAATGCAAAAATCAAGTTGTATATATGTTTGGTTAGCGCTCGAAACTTGGCTTTTGGCCAAGCTGGATTACTCGTACTGTAAATTATGTTACATTAGCAAGCGCCTGAAAAGTGTAAACTTTTGCTTCTTTATTTATTCAAGTGTTTTATATATGGGAAATGAAGTTATGAATGTAAAGTATGAATGGAATGAAAGCTGGATGAATGTTATGTTGGTTTGGACAAATTATTTGTTAGAAATTGAATATTTTATATGCCTCGAATTATATGTGCAAGGACTATTGGATAATTGTATTTTATTTTACTCAAAGCTTATAGTGTGCTGCTACTAAAGGTCCAAACACAAATTTAAGATTATGCACTCTTAATGTAAGAGGCATTAGGAGTGACTCGAAGAGAAGATCTATATTTTTATATGTAAAACGTTTTAAGAATGATGTTGTATTCCTTCAAGAAACGCATTCAAGTGTAGATGATAGTAAGAGATGGGAAAATGAATGGGGGTTAGGGAAGTGTATATTTTCTCATGGCAGACTTCGAAATGAACGGGGAGTGGCTATTTTATTGGGAAATAACCGTATATCCATCATAAAACAGTTGAGTGACACTGAAGGAAGATACATCATCATTCAAATACAAAGTGAGGGTAAAAACTACACGTTATGCAATATATATGCTCCAAATGATGAAAATGTTAGGAAAGAGTTTTTCGACCATGTATCAGCAATTATAACAACAGAATTTTCACACGAAAATCTGATTCTAGGGGGAGATTTTAATGTTACTATGGATAATAGATTAGACAGATATTCAAAAAATGTTGAACATATTCAAAATAATGATGCATCTCGTGGGGCGCTGCTGGATTTAGTTAAATTTTATGACCTCGTTGATATATGGAGGCATCAGAACCCCACAAAAATTCAATATACCTATGAATCTTATGCAAAAGATGACATGCGAAATTCTCTTTCCAAAAGTAGGTTAGATATGTGGTTCATAAAAAGAAATATGGGTAACAGTAGCCTCTGTAAGATAGCTCCATCGGTTAAGTCTGATCACAAATGTGTATTACTAGACACTATGTCAAATGGAAATAATAAACGAGGCCCTGGCTTTTGGAAAATTAATAATAAACTGATTGAGAATGAAGAATATCAAAATATTATCAGGAAATTGGTGAAAGATGTTAAAACAGAATATAATGACCTTGATAATATCCAAATGTGGGAATTTCTAAAATACAAAGTTAAAGTTCGAACTATTGAGTTTTCTAAGCAAAAGGCCAGGGCACTTAGGGCGCAAGAGATAGAGCTAATTAAATTATTAGAGAATCTAGACAGTGAGCTGGTCAACGGAAATAATCTTAATGCAGACAACTGTAGGAAATACGATGAAGCAAAATCTAAGCTAAATGACATTTATCAGTATAAAGCTGAAGGGGCAATCCAACGCTCAAGGGCTGAATGGGTTGAAAAGGGGGAGAAAAGTACTCAGTATTTTTTCAATTTGGAAAAATCTAACCATAATAAAAAACACATTACAAGACTTATTGTTGATGGAGCCATTGTTACGGATGAGACTGAAATTCTTAATCAAATAAAAGCATTTTATGAAGAACTATATTCATCGAAATCATTAAAAGATTGTGAGAAATTTAGACGTTTTGATGAAGGAATACAAATAGATAAATTAGATAATAATGAACAATTATCATGTGAGGGAACCTTAACAACTGATGAATGTTTTAGAGCCTTAAAGAGATTTAAAAATGGAAAAACACCCGGAAGTGACGGTCTTAGCTCCGAATGGTACAAGCATTTTTGGGATGACATTAAAGAATCCGTAGTTAACTCATTCAATTTTGCATTTGAAAAGGGTATTCTTTCAATGAGCCAAAGGCAAGGTGTTATATCCCTTATACCGAAGGGAGAAAAAGATTCAGAATATTTAAAAAATTGGCGACCAATTACTTTGCTAAATATTGATTATAAAATTGCATCCAAATCAATAGCACAGAGAATAAATGCTGTTCTAGGTAAAATTATTGGATCGGATCAAACTGCTTTTATTGAAGGGAGGTTTATCGGAGAAAATATTCGCTATGTCGAGGATCTTTTGGAATACACCAAGAAGAGGGGTATACATGGAATCGTTTGTATGGTGGATTTTCTCAAAGCCTACGACAGTGTCGAGTTTGATTATATTGAGCATGTACTAAGGGTGTTTAACTTCGGAGATGACCTGATCCGATGGGTTAAGATGTTTAATAATGATATTAAAAGTTGCGTCCTTAACAACAACGTGTCGACTGGCTGGTTTAGTGTTAAGCGCTCATGCAGGCAGGGGGACCCGATCAGTTGCTTGAATTTTTTACTTGTTATAGAGATGCTAGCCTTAAAAATTAGACAAGACAACGGTGTACAGGGAGTTGACATTGGCGAGTCAAGTCAAAAACTAGCGATTTTTGCAGATGATACCACGTTGACTCTTAAGGACGTAACGTCATTACAAAAAGCATTGGACATCTTTGAAGATTTCAGACTAATATCAGGTTTATGTATTAATAGAGAAAAAACAGAGTGTATGTATATTGGAAGTGATCGTCATAATAATGAAATAAACCTTTTTGGTCTGAAATGGGTAAAGATACCAAGTAGACTTTTAGGGATAAAAATATCATATGACACAAATGCAAATAACACGGATAATTTTGAGAGAAAGTTAAATATGCTTGAAAAGGTTCTTATATTGTGGTCAAAGCGAGATCTTACTTTTTATGGAAAGGTACTCATAATTAAGTCCCAGGCAGTGTCGAAGCTAATATACTCGATGACAATGACCAATACGCCTGATGATATCTTGACGAAGGCTCAACGACTAGTCTATTCTTTTTTATGGGGAGGAAAGGGTGAGAAAATTAAGCGAAATACTTTAATAGGGGATTTTGAGGATGGGGGTCTCAGAATGATTAATATGTTCACAATGGAGAAAGCCTTGAAATTAATGTGGTTAAGACGTTTACTTGACACACGAACTAGTCACTGGAAGCTTATTCCTCAAGTTTATTTCAAGCGTCTTGGAGGACTGAGTTTTTTGTTGCAGTGTAATTATGATATTAAAACTCTGGCACACAGTGTTCCTACCTTTTATATGAATTTGCTTCGAAACTATTCAGAATTAAGAAATAGGTCGCCGCCTAGAACCAGTTCAGGGGTTAAAGGTGAAATCATTTGGAATAACAAATCAATTCTAATTAATGATAAGGAGGTGATGTACAAACATGTCATGGAAAAGGGGGTCATTTATATTAATGACCTTCTTAACGAGAATGGGGCTTTTTTACAGTACAATGAGTTTAAGACTAAGTATAATATTAATATCAACTTTCTTGAGTATTTTTCAATCATATCGGCTATACCAAATGATTGGAAATTTCTATTGAAATCAGATTTAAGTTCGACCTTTGAACCCAGCATACAGGAAGAACTCGTGTATTTGAAACTTGGTGAAAAACAGGTGACAATCTCTAGTATAACGGTTAAATCAATTCAAACAATATTAAATGGAACCAAGTTCTTGGAACCGTTATATAAAGACAAACATGATCGTGAATTAAAGAGAACCGATTATTTTAAAATGCCTTATATGTGTACGAAACAGAATAAAACGCGACAACTTCAGTTTAAAATACTTCATGGTATCTGCACTACAAATGCCTTTTTAGCGCAGATTGGCATTAAAAATGACTCTAAATGTAACTATTGTGCCTTTCGAGATACGTTAAAACACAAATTCTGGGAGTGCAAAAGAATTCAAATATTTCTGGAAGCAATCAAAGGGAATTTAAAGCGTTTATTTAAAGTTGATTTCGATTTTAACGCCCATGACATGGTTTTTGGAAGGCAAGCTAATAAGAAAAATATCTTACCAAATAGACTTACCCTTGCAATTAAGTACTATATTTTTATTAAAGAGTTCGACGAAGTGAATCCCAATTTGTATGAGGCGCAATTTGAAAAAAATATGTTTTATTATGTACCTGAACTTAAAAGTATGACTGTTGCAAATGTCTGAATGAATGGAGGTGGTGTGAAAAATATCTGAACTGTTCTAATTATTGTACTTGTACTGTTTGAATAGAGAAATAAAAAAAAAATAAAAAAAAAAAAAAAAAAAAAAAAAAAAAAAAAAAAAAATCATATAGTCAGGATATTGGGATTATCCCTTGGCCAATATATAGGGGTTATGCAATTGGAGGTTTTGGATACAGGGAATATCCCGAGGGATATACAATATATCTTCCCGAGGGACCGAAGGGACCAAGGGAAGACATATTATATATCCCTCGGGATATTCCCTGTATCCAAAACCTCCAAGTGCATAACTGTTGTATATAGTTTAGCATGATATGTACTTCTTTCTGTAACTGGAATACGATTCTAATATACAAGCAGCACATACGTATTCCCGGGGAACCATAAATATTTTGTGTAGTGTGTGGACATTTTTCTTTTCATTTCTCTAAAATCAGATTATTCTCATAAAATTCATACAAAGTTGGGCCTAAGCCTCTATTTTCGTATTCTGCATGTTAAGATATTTATAATGTAAAACCTAAGAGATAAATTCAATGTCTTCAGTTGAGAATAAGTATAAGGTAAATGTGTGAATTCTGCTTGTTGTTGCACTATTTTTATAATAAACAAGGTTCGATACGCAACACTGAATAGACTGCAGTCATAGCTTAGTTGTAAAGAAAACAAAAGAAGTTGGGACGTGGTCATGCTTGAATACTATTTTAAATATATCGCCGTTTACATTTGTTGAAATCGGCCTGTATTAATTTCAACAGGTGATCGGTGTACAAGGGCATATATTTGAGTTATTGGTTTAACGATAAGTATGACCTATGAGTGGGTAACGTTTTACAAATGCATGAAACAAATACTCCAATGGCCTAATCTCAATTTTCCTGCATAAACTATTACATTGAAATGATGGTCATTTGCTCTCTAACTTCCGCACCGCATACGTAACTTCGTAACAATTCAATAAGCCAAGACAGGACCGCTATAATCGCTACATGCCAGTGAACATTAAGGTCAAGACGATGCCGACTTTGAGTATCGATAAACGTATTGACAGAATGATACGACATCTATTTAAGTGTCTAGAAATTATAAACATCATTAAGTTACAGCCTCATAAACTATTAAAATGAAGAACATGAAAAATTAAAATATTCTTCCAATTTTCAGGTACTATATCCACTAGAAACTTTTAAATTCTATTAAGCATGATATAACTGTTCACGATAGGTAGGTTTTCACTATAGCAAGAAAGTCAACGCATAATGTGACAAGATATCACAACCAGATATTGGAGGTTGTAAGAATTTGTAAAAAACGCCAAACACAGTCCACAAAAAGGAGACATATGTCATCACTTGTGGTGGTGACATAATAAGAGGGTCAAAGGCACTGAAAGTTAAAAACACTTCTTGCAGAACCAAAGTCCATTCCAGGGAATTAATAATCATGTGTTCTCCTTGATGTTACAGATTCAATAAACTTTATTGAGGGGCATATAAGAGACAAAACTTTGACATGTATATTTCCAACGTTATATTTTAATTTTATTCTACACGTTTTATACACTCCAACTTTTGTACAATTACAAATAAGATATGACATGTACACCATGGAATATCCATTAAACAAGTCTCAGACCTGCACCACCTAAAACGGTTTACAATTTGCCATTTCATAATTTTACAATTCTAAATACAACTTATATTCTAATTCAAAAATGGGGTGCAGATATTTGTATACACGTTTGATTGTTAATTTTAAAAAATGATCAACAAACCTCATTTACAGTATTCAATTCATGAAAATAATTCTATTTAATCCTATTTGTCATGGCGACATATTTTCGCTATTAACAGTTTGATTCAGATGAGCAATCAGCCAATAAGGAGAATCGATCAGTTATTACCAAAGCAAAGGAGGACTACATTAAACCTCGTGGTACCCTACCAAACCATGGGTGTAGTGAGGCATGAGGCTGGCGAGACAATCAATCACCAAAATTGTACAGAAATATAATTCTCAAACATTTATCAACTTTAACTGTGTGAATGAAATCCTAATGTAGTAATGCACAATTTAGCCTAAATTGGCCTCATCTGTTGATTTTTGCCTCGTCTAACTTAGTTCCTGGCTAAGCCTTTTCAAATAGAAACTTTCTGCTCAAAACTGTACAGAAATATAATTTTCAGACATTTTTCAACTTTAACTGTGTGAATAAAGTCCTAATGTAGTAATGCACAATTTAGCCTAAATTGGCCTCATCTGTTGACTTTTGCTTCACCTAACTTAAGTTCCTGGATAAACCTTTCCAAATAGAAACTTTCCGCTCAAAATTGTACAGATATGTAATTTTCAGACATTTTTTCAACTTTAACTGTGTGAATGAAGTCCTAATGTAGTAATGCACAATTTAGCCTAAATTGGCCTCATCAGTGACTTTTGCTTCACCTAACTTAAGTTCCTGGATAAACCTTTCCAAATAGAAACTTTCCGCTCAAAATTGTACAGATATGTAATTTTCAGACATTTTTTCAACTTTAACTGTGTGAATGAAGTCCTAATGTAGTAATGCACAATTTAGCCTAAATTAGCCTCATCTGTTGACTTTTGCTTCACCTAACTTTAGTTCCTGGCTAAGCCTTTTCAAATAGAAACTTTCTGCTCAAAACTGTACAGAAATATAATTTTCAGACATTTTTCAACTTAAACTGTGTGAATGAAGTCCTCATGTAGTAATACACAATTTAGCCCAAATTGGCCTCATCTGTTGACTTTTGCCTCGCCTAACTAAAGTTCATGGCTAAACCTTCCACTCAATATTTCATGCCAATCTTTAATAACAATAACTTGAGACTGTATATTTACAAACTTTAAGGTGTTTGCATCGACAGTTATTCCGTATATTCCATTGATAGTCATCGTACATGTCAACCAAGCACACAAATGATTATTTGAATAACATATAAATATATATGGAAATGATAATACAACTTAAAACCCTTGATACAATATGTACAATAACTTGCACAATATTATATACAATGATTATGTACAATTGCTTTAAATGTATGAACACGCTGGACAATATACAGGGTGATCACATCAATTGTGAATATCACAACTGTGTTACAACCTGTACATATAAAATAAATCATATAATCAGGAAGCATGTATAAATTTTCAGAAATGAAAAAAATAATTCAAAATTGCATTTTCGGATAGTTTTTCAATAAGCTGATAATAAAAATTACGAAAAAGCTAAGATACATGCCTCTAAAGTTAAACATTAAGAATTGGGAGATCTCTTAAAAAATGAACCTTTCTCATGTTAACATTGGTGACACAGACATAAACCAGCCACCATAAGACCTACCTAATATTCTAAACTAGAAGCTAATAATTTACAGCAAAATCTACGAGTGTGAGCTCTCAGTATACAGCAAATGTTTAAGTATGAGCTCTGTGTGACTCTTTCTATGGTCACTGGTTTAAACTTGACTTCTCATTTTTTCCCTCTAATGTTGAAGTAAAGCGTATGTTTTTCTTATACTGAAGTACAATACAAAGAAATGAGTTTATGCATATATATTATGTGTACTATCGAACAAGTCTTTTATCTATCCAATTCTTATTTTTACATTAATTGGTGGTATTTGCCGAATCAAACCACACAATTTAATGTTTTGTGTTATATTATACTGTAAAATTCAACTGCAATATTTTTAACATATATATGGGTATGTACAATGTACAAGGGATGTGCGTGTATCATGATAGATCAAAAATCATTCTGAATCAATTAAAATTACCAAAATAAATCAAAAAGTATAATACAAAAATATGTGAAATTAAATTCAATGAGAAGCCAATAAAATCTGAAAATTCATCACCTAGAAATTCATTGTTTAACAATAAATTTAACGTTTCTATGACAACCATAATTATGATGACAACTTGATACTTCGTGGGTTTATATACAATGAGCACTTCGAATAAGAAGTATTTTACCACTTCTTATATTAAGTTTCTTATTCTTTGAAGAAAAGTGGTTGAATGTTTTTACAATCATGATTCCAGTGATAAATACATTTGTGCAATTCAAACAATGAATTATTCTTGATGTATAAATCTCAATATCACTTTAAGCAGCACTAGTCTCTTATAAAGTCCAAATATTATGAGCTTTTTAATGAATACTCATAAATGAATCCTGTTCAAGGCCTGAATCGATATTGATGTTTTGTAGTGACATCTATATTCCTTGTTCAGTATGTCTCAAATTTCATGCAAAATTCATGCCTTTTCATAGAATTACACTTCACTAAATCTTGAAATCAAATCTTCTTTAAAGCATAAACATGCAAAAAGGTCCCAAAATTATTCAGGCTTTTGGAGATAAACGGGGTAGGATAAGAAAACTCATTTTCTATATTCAACACAAGAATGCAGGAAAATCATTTAGATTCTAAACTTTACAGAAAATGAGCATAAATCTCATGTAACTGTAATCAGGGAAGAGTCCACAAGTTCTATCTACAGGTCGAGGTTGCTATATGCACCATTGCTTTAAATATCTGGAACAGAAAAAATAAACATTTTTTAATCGTTAATCCCACCAAACTAGTTTTCAACCCTTCTTTTCAGTCTTAGGAAAAAGCTGTAAAACAGGCTAAATCTGGCTGTTGTCGTGATATATGTCTGAAATAATTAGCTACTTCGTTTATATACAGTCTTCAATACGTCCATCTCATTCCCAGTTCGTTTAGATTGCACCATATCAGTGCACACATATTGCAACAGATATCCATTGCACGTCGTATAATGTGTCTTAGTAGGGTTGAAGTACAGCAATCAAGTTCCTGGTCTACTAGGTCATCTCATTTGAAGTACGTTGTCAGACGTTCTGATAACAGAATGCCCATGTCGCCATTGAATTTTGAATTGATTCAAAATTCTAAATCACATTCCTGTCCGGGAAAGTCCATGAAGTTTGTAAATAGACCATAGAACGTTGTAGCTACATTCATCCAGTTCGTACACAGTTAAAAACCAGTTCTGCAATGTTTTACAGAACGCAGTGAACACTTGTTTGGTGTGATAGCTATTTTTGTTAATTCATTCATAAGCTACAAACGATGTACTCATGACTGCAATTTACGTCTAACTTCACAATGTCGTGATATGTCCCTAGTAGGATTGAAGTATGACAGTTCAGTTTGTAGTGTGTCCCCAGTGCGTCCAGGTCGTCTTAAGTACGTTGTCACTCGTTCTGATTGCAGAACATGATGTCACCAAAAACGTCACCAGAAAATTTTGAGCATGCTCTAAGTTCTGGATGACCTGCTCGTTTGGGTATTTTGATAAAGTTTGTTAAAAGACCTGAAACGGTTCTAAGTACGTCAAATCCGTTCGTGAACAGTTTAAGCCCATATTCGAGAACGTAGTGAAAACTAGTTTGGTGTGATAGTAGGCGTAGGGTTAGATAGAGGCAGTGGTGATGTACATCTGACTTTTGATACATTAATGAGAAACAATGCAGGCATAGAATGTGATTTTTTGGTAAAAAAAAGATTTCAATTTTTTCGAAAACAAAATGAAATTTTGACTTTCTACAGTACAGATGCACTGGAGTGGCTCCTTATGGTGCTAATACTAATGCTGACTGACCTATGTACAGTATATGTAGCAACTATCCTTATATGTAGCAACTATCCTTACCAGTATATGTAGCAACTATCCTTACCTATGTACAGTATATGTAGCAACTATTGATTACTACTTTCGCTAGTTTTTCTTTCTGATGGTCTAGATTCTGGTTTTAAATCCACATCTATTTTATCACGTGGCTTCCCCGATCCAAATATACTGGTGTTGCGATTTGGAGGAGCGCTATCTGAAGCACTTGGTTTTGGACCTTCCGTAGCTGTTGACCCCCTTGGTAAGAGCTTTAATTTTGGACGTTGCGCTAATGATTCTGAAATATGACAACAAAACTTCACTGTGAGGTCATACCATCTAGTCTGACTAAGCGAGATCTAAGTTTGATATTGCAATAATGATTCTGAAAGATGATAACGATGCTTCAATATTAGTCACTTCATGTAGTTCGGCTAAGTTAAATCTAAATGTAGTCACCACGGGTTGAATAAGAAACAGACAGAAGTCAATTTCTTTTATCAAAATCTCCCCAGTTTTACAAAATAGCTTGTGTTTTGTTTGTAAAATATTGTATCAAACCTCCTTTATAGTCTATTCACCTAAATGTACATTTAAAAAGTATGTGGCATGCCATGGCAAGATGAGCTTATCAGATTGTAAATAAACTTCACTTCAGAAACCCACCTCGGAATAGTTTGTGAACTAAAACTAAAGTTTAGAGGAACTCTTTTCACATAATAACATTCCTGCTGTCAGAACTCATAATGATACCTCTGGATCACATTCAAGGAATTAAGAGAGATTCTATGATATATATCAGGTGTCCCAAAAAAATGAGACATTTTTTGACAAGTTTTCTCTTGGCAACTGATGAACCAAATTCACTGAAAATTCATACAAAGTAGCCCAAGAGTGTTGTTAGCAACGTACAAAAATATGAAAAAGATTGAGTAAATGTTATGTGGTACTAAGAAATTCAAGAGAGCATGATAGTGACTGTGAAAATACTTGTCAAAAAGTGTCTAATTTTTCTGGTCATTTCTGTAACAAAATATCGGAACGTCGAAGGTATGATTTTCTTTTTTCTTTATTTCAAGTGTTGTAGGCAGAATCTTCACGACGTTTTTTCTCACAAAAGTATATCGAGTCATATGTTTTAGAAAATGTACATGTTTGCGAAAAAAATAGCTCAGAAGACAACAGAATCGTTGATTTAATCCATCACTTAAGTTACATGAACGGTTTGGGTTAAAAGTGCAGATCTTAACTGTTTTTCGAAAAACTGTAACTTAAGTGAGAATTAATTCGACGATTCTGTTGTCTTCTGAACTATTTATTCACAAATATGTACATTTTCTTAAACATATGACACTGATACACGTTTGTGTTAAAAATGTCGTCGTTTGTCGTTTCTCATTTTCTCATAGGTGAAGTAATGTACTACTACAGTACTTGAATAGGTGAAGGAATGTACAACTATGTGAAAAGAGGTGTAGAGCTATATGAAAAAAAATAGATGTACAAAATGTACTAGTATATAAAAGTATATAGTATATAGAGTAGAAAATGTACAACTATATATAGAGATGTAGAAAATATACAACAATATGAAAAGAGGTATAAGTTTTCCTCACCTGCTGAAGCTTCTTTTAAATCATCATACTGTTGGTTGCCACTATCTCTTCTAGGTCTTCCACCTGGACCTCCGCCCCTGTAGCCACCTCTATCACCACGATCTCCATACCCTCTGCCTCCCCTGTAGCCACCTCTGTCATTGTACCCTCCTCTGTCATTGAAACCCCCACCCCCCTGATAGTCATCTCGAGGGGCTCCGCCGTATCCCCCACGTCCCCCGCGATCCCCCCTGAAACCTCCACGACCTCCACGGAAACCTGAAAAAATTTAAGAATTTAACACATATTAATAAAATATTGTAGATATAAAAGAAAAACGTTCCCTTTTTGTCCATGATAAAGAAAAACTGTTCCTTTTTGTTCATGATAGGGTAGGATCATGTATTCACATGAGGTGAATGAGATCACACCATCGAAAAACCTATAAAATGGCAGCCAGAAAACAAGATTGCCACCCAAAATTAGCTCTAAAACTTGATATCCTATATCATGTGTGCAATTTTGGAGAAAATCTGATGGCAAGATTTATTGTAAAACCTTTAAAATGGCTGCCCAAAAGTTAATCAGCCCTAGAACTTGATATCCTCTATCATGTGTGCGAATTTTGAGAAAATCCACTGAGCAGTTTTCCTGATAACCAGATGACAAGATTTATCGAGAAACGTTCTAAATTGCTGCCAGAAAACAAGATGGCCACCCAGTTGTTCAGGTTAAGAACTTGATATTCTCTATCATGTGTGCGAGTTTGGAAAGAATCTGATGAGTGCTTTTTCTGAAATTGACGTCATTGTGACGTCATCGTGACAACTATATCCCACCGATGGTGTGATAAAAATCTGTTATTTTGGCTGTTCCATTAATCTACTTCCTATTTATACCCCATGTCCCTTTTTATAGAGACTAACCTCCATCTGGGCCACCTCTTCCTCTGCCTCTGCCACCACCCCGGTCTCTTTTCTGTTCTGCAACGTCTACTCGCAGACTACGCTCTCCAAATAACTGAAAAACAATGAATGAGTTTATCTTTAGTGATTCAACAATGAATGAGTTTATCTTTAGTGATTCAACAATGAATGAGTTTATCTTTAGTGATTCAACAATGAATGAGTTTATCTTTGGTGATTCAACAATGAATGAGTTTATCTTTAGTGATTCAACAATGAATGAGTTTAACAATGAATGAGTTTATCTTTAGTGATTCAACAATGAATGAGTTTATCTTTAGTGATTCAACAATGAATGAGTTTATCTTTAGTGATTCAACAATGAATGAGTTTATCTTTAGTGATTCAACAATGAATGAGTTTAACAATGAATGAGTTTATCTTTAGTGATTCAACAATGAATGAGTTTATCTTTAGTGATTCAACAATGAATGAGTTTATCTTTAGTGATTCAACAATGAATGAGTTTATCTTTAGTGATTCAACAATGAATGAGTTTATCTTTAGTGATTCAACAATGGGTGAGTATCTGGTGAATGAATGATGTCACTTCTATGAAATATTGGATAATGTAATTTTCTACAAAACAATAATTCCTACTGAATATGGTAGTGTAGCATTGTAGTATTTGCTTGAGGTAGAGTAGTCTTTTTTGTTGTAAAAGGAGTAAGAGGCTTGATTATTCAATCAAAGTTGCATTGGTTGGTAAACCATAGAACTGTTTTTCATGCAATTAATAAAGAGAATGATACTCACTGCACCGTCATATGCTAAAGCTTCCTTGAGTGATTCTAAATCACCAAACTCTACATAGGAAAATCCTGGAAAACATCATTAGTCCAATCTTTATAATGATAAACTGTACCAACATTCAGTCATGCAAGACAAATGGATTGAAATAGTGAGTATAATCCAGAAAAAATTAATCTTGAAACTTATAATCATGATTTATAGATCCAAAAATGGTATCTTTTTGAAGAAATGTGAAGAAGCTCGCTAAATAAGTGTAATGAAATTATTGGAAAGGAAAGACTCAGGAGCAATTTCTTCAAAACTTGAAAGATTTGACAACTTTTCAAATCTGTAAAATGAATACATGCATTCAATTCAGTTGCCATATTAAATTATTCACCGTATATTGAAAAGGTCACTGCATATAAAATGTTCTGGATATTACCTTTAAATTCATCAGTCTCTCTATTCCTCACAAGGCGTACACTCTTCACCTACAATAATACAAGTACATTAAGACAAGTACATTTGGTCAAGTACATTTTGACAAGTACATTTAGGCAAGTACAGTTGAAATAACACTTATTTAGAAATGCAAACTTGACATAACTCTGGTGTTCATTTCATTTCAGATAAGAGGCAATATGTATGAAAACAGCAGGCAAAACTCTAGAAAAATCTGACAATTCTTTATACACTTCTTCATAGGAAGTGGAAAACTGTAAAATTCATTAGGTTGGCTTCATTTCTGGCATAGTAATATGAATACTCACATTTAACTCATTGAAAATCTCCACTAAGTCTCCTTGTACGAGTCCTTGTGGTAAATTGCCAACATATGCTGTAAAAGGTGGTTCTGTGGGCATCTCACGGGGGGCGCCACCGCCTCCTCTGTTATCCCTGTTGCCATATCCACCGCCTCCACCATAGCTACCTCCACTGGAAAACAAAAAAAGAACATCATTATTCACACATTGTCCAACTAAAGGCTTGTTAATCCCCTTTCAGCATTTTAGCCCACATCACTTCCACATCATCAAGCTTCAGGCCTGCTCTCATCTTGATACTCCGAAAATTACTATTCATTTGTGAAATGAACAAACTCAGCTACTTTACTATTTTGAATATTACTTGTAATAACTCTTACTGATATCCACTTCCACAATTATTTGTGTTTTCAAAAAATTGTGCAAGATTCATTCGGTTTTTAAAGTGTCTTCAACTGAATCTGAACAGGTCAGATTTCCTCTTATGCACGATATGTATGCTATTCAGATATAGAGCCATAAGAGTACAGTCGAAGAACCATATAACTGGTAGGTAAGAGACTGTCACATTCACTTCTAAATCTTATATTTTAGATTTGTATGGAGGGAATTTAGTGATATTGACTTCTATAATAGTTCAAACTGAATAGTGTTCCTCCAAAAAATGATCTGCCTATATGGATATAATATAAGGATTTGCCTATATATTGTGGAATTTACATTGAAACATAAACTCCATCTAAAAAAACAAAATGACTAGAAAAAAACCTGATGCACATGAATTATTTGTTGCAGAGCCCTTTTCAATAAGATCAAACCACAATTAACAAACCTGGGGAAGATTAACCTTCTTCTAAGGCTACTATATGGTGGTCTTCGTCCAAAGATAAATCCCTGCATGGTTTTTTATTCTGTCGGATGTGAGTCATGTCACTGTATATGGGTCATGTCATAATCATAAAATTTGAAATCAAATGTTCACCATTTTCCACATCCATTTTTGAATTGCGAGTTTTGGTCTTATTACCTCACCAAAAATTCCAAAACACACATGAAGTGATCAATGTATTAGTTCACATCTTCTGGATCGCTAACTTAGAATTTACAGCAAGTTACTAATGTCAGACATAACAACATTTCGTCTAATTTTTGAATATCGCCATTTTTCTTGGAGCAATTTGTTTTAATTTTAGACGAAATCCTGATGAAATCTTGCAATATCTCATCAAGGCATTCACGGTGTTCCAGATGAAATTACTTCTAGCCAAGAATTGACTAGGGACTCGAGTAACCTTGGATTACTCACTTCGAGAGCCATGTTAGATTTTGAAACTAATGGCTCTCCAACGGAGAAATGGACAGCTGAATAATAGTGACCTTTGTAACACGAATTAAGTCGATCCGCGGCTTACTTTTGTTCTCTATGTCATACATCAATATCATCCTTCCGTGTAAGTATTGGAGCGCTGAAGTACTTCCTTTTTGATCAAGACTTGCAATTGTTAGTCGAGTGAATGTTTTTTCTGCCTAATTCCAATATGGCGTTTTCTGCTCGGACATTTTCATAAAACTCCGGACTCATTCTCAAAATTCACTTCATTCGTTACGCATCTCGCTCCTAGCAAACCGCCATATTGGAAATGGGTCGAAAAAACATTCACTCGATGAACAATTTACAAGTCTTGATCGAAAAAGAAGTATTTCAGCGCTCCAATACTTGCACGGATTGATGATACTGATGTAAGACACAGTTAGAGACCAAAAGTAAGCCGCGGATCGACTCAATTCGTGTTTCAAAGGTCACTATTATTATTCAGCTGTCCAAGTGTGCCGTGGGAAAGCTATTATATCGAAATCCACATAGCTTTCGCAGGAAGTAAATGTGAAACAAACAAATGTAAATCTTGGACACTCATTTTGGTAAAAATGATTTTCGGGGAATACTTTTCTGCAGTTTGGGACATAAATGTAAAATTCAAGAAAATATGCTAAATATACGAATTATATTTGGCTACAGCTGTAGAAGCACTAGGGCAAGTGGCTGCATCACAATTGTTATTAGAGCACTGTAGACTTTGTAGTTAATTGTCTCAAAAAAAAGTAACGTCCAGAAAACTGACTCATTTGTTCCATCAAATGCAAATGCTCATCTAACGTTTTTGAAATTATGATAATGCTTTATATCACATATGTGCTTATATTTATTAATTAATGGAACTCTAATTTGATCAATTCACATTGTTTTCAGTTCGAATATTATTGTCAGACCACGTGAAACTGAAATATTTGGGTCAAATTTTTCACCAGCTGCTTTCAAAGTGTAGCTTCAAATTAGAATATCTACCAATCTACTGATTAATATTATTATCCGAAGAAGCCGATTGTTTCCCTGATATATGCGGAAGGTATGCAGTGAAATGAATTGTGGACAAACCTATCTGTTGATACGTACCCGCCGTAATTTGATCGCCCCCCTCTATCGCCAAAGTCCTGGTAATCCGCCATGATGGAATATATCCCATAATTTTCTCAACTTCCGGTATAGAAATTTTGCGGGAAATTCAAATAAATTGTAGATTTTTTTATGACTGGTTTCGAACTCTCGTGACACTGCATTGGAGTTCGGACTGGTTTAAGAGAAACGTGTGTTCGAAAAGTTCTCCATATCGATACCACTCCTTCGACAAAATATGACGAGTAAATTTTCAGTGTGACAAATTAAAATTTGGGAATTTAAAGTGACTAGATATCTATAGCAACCTCACTTCACAGTCTTGTGCCTCCTCTTTGGGAGCCCTCTTTGAATTAACCGCGGCAAGATGATATAAGTTTATGCAAATGGAACAATGGACAGCCTCATTGGGTAGATTATTTCCTAAAGTTCTGTCATTTTCTGAAAACTGGCTGAAAATGACAGACTATGTATTAATTTTTTTTAATTAATTGGTATAGAGATTATTGGCTATTTGTTTAATTAAACAATTGCATAGGCGGCCTATTTGTTACTTTGATCCTTATCACTTTATTTCCACATACTTTTTATGGCATTTAAATCACGCGGTAGTATCTCATGGCGTAGAATAATGGAAATAACGTCACAACGCATGCGCGTAAATCGACATTTCATGGTCCAAAGATTTCAATGGAGAGCAGTCTTCATCAAAATTTAAAATCTTAATAATTTTTTAGCAAATCATTAATTTTCTTAGGATTCAACGGATCCTTGTTACACCTAACGAAGTGTTCATTTTGATATATAAAACAGCAAAATCCATCCACAGATCTTTCGGCCTTTTAATGATTTAATTTTCGGGATATTTTGCTAAAATCTCCCATTGGCCGCCATTATAAACTTTGAAAAACCCCAAATTTTCATCATTTCATATCATTCGTTAAGTAATGTAAACAACTCCAATCGCTTAGGATTCAACGGATTCTAAGAGATCAAAGCTAATACAATATGTTGACAACCCCCGTTTCAATATTTGTCGCATAATCTTTCGGCCTTTTAGGTTACAGGGGCGGATCTGGGAACCAACAAGGGGGGGGCCCAAACTTCTGGTCTAAGAAAAAATTTTTGGCCCCCTCAAACCCAAAAGTGGGCCCAAATTTTGAAATTTTGAGGCCCATTTTCTTCAAAATTTTGCCTAAAATTAAAAAATAAGGCCTTAGAAGGCCCATTTATGACCAAAAAGGCCTACTTTTTGGGGCCTTTAGGCCTTTTTAGGCTCAAAATTTTTTTTGGGCACAAATTTTTTTTTCTGGGCCCACCCAAGGGGGAGGGGCCCGGGCCCCTGGGCCCCCCCCCCAGATCCGCCAGTGGGTTATAAATTTGTCAATATTTTGATTTTCGACCATTAATGACGTACTTGGATCCGAGATTCATTGTCCCGGGATTCATGACGCTATTTCCATTATTCTACGCCATGTTCGGGACGTATCGAAACCACTCCGTCCCGAAAAACCGTTAATTTGAATTTAGAACCTACCCCAGTGTTTGAAAATCAAGGATTGTGAGTCTCACACTTCACCGTTTTTCTTCAAACTTGTTCCGTACAAAGCTTCTTGATTTTTGGGCATCAAACGCAGCAGTTTCTAAATCATCCACACATCTCTTCAAATTTGACCAATACGTCCCGTCATCTTCCACTACGCCCCGCCGAGTCTATCACTATACACGTAGAGTTGCATTCTAAAACAATTTGTCCATCGATGTGTCGGTTTGTAGGTTGCCATTGTCGATTCTAAATACCAATCGGATTGTGTTTTAAGATTTACCCATTCTTGTCCATTTTCAATATACCTATAATAGGGTGGTCCAAAATCTCCCTAAAATTTAGATTTCCCGATATTGCAATATAAAGATTTTAATTACTGAACAATTGAAAATATTTTTAAGAAACGTTTAAAGTGCCCTTTCCTTGAAAAAATGTTAAAATGCGAAAGGATGGGTAATGTCAATTATATTATTTTCAGCATAACGTTAGAAACATGTATCATTTTATATGGTACACGTTTCATAATGTAATCCAATGGAATCATACAGAAGAAAGGTTGACACACAACAGTTAAAATCTTTATATTACATTTTTTAGTTTCTTGAAACATAGGATAATTTCCTATGCTAAGGGCTGATGTGAAAAAGTCAGTCCACCTCGGTGGGAATTGAACCCACAACCTACCGATTAGATCTCGGATGCTCTACCAGTTGAGCTACGGAGCCGACTGGCTTTTACACATCAACACTGCATATATGGCTTCTCTGCCTGAGTCTGCCATGACTTACATGCCCAGTTCCCTGGACCCTCATAAGGTTTACCTGTCTTTCCAGGTTGCCAATCACACTATTCATGATGTCACATGGTCTTTCCCATGCCGACTAGGAATATATTATATTTATATTACATTATCAGACCAAGTCAGTAGATGTTGTTTATATACCAATTAGTGTTGTATGATGATGCATTCTTGGTTTCCTCACAAAATCAAATACAGGACAATTACATATAATTAAAGTTAAAAAGCAACATCTTCACAAACATTTAAATTATCAATTTCATGCAATCAGTTATAGTTATACTCCGTATGTATGCTAAACTTAAGACTGGTGTTAAGAATCGACCAAGGCAAACCTATGTAAAATTACACAACGATGAACAAAATGTTTTAGAATACAACTCCACGTTTGTAGTCATAGACTCGGCGGGGCGTAGTGGAAGGTGACGGGACGTATTAGTCAAATTTTAAGAGATGTGTGGATGATTTAGAAACTGCTGCGTTTGATGCCCAAAAATCAAAACGTAGCGATGAAAGGTTTTAATGGGAGTCCATTCTGAAATTATGAGCGAGAATGGGTAAAAGACTGGCGAGATAACTTGACTTACAGTTGAAAGTTATGAAAATTTGCTTTATCTCGCAGCTGGGGACCAAAACGCCGCTAAAACGAGGTACTTTGTACACGAAAACAATGTATCGACTGAAAGGTATTTCTGTGAAGCTTTGTACGGAACAAGTTTGAAGAAAAACGGTGAAGTGTGAGACTCATCACAATCCTTGATTTTCAAACACTGGGGTAGGTTTTAAATTCAAATTAACGGTTTTTCGGGACGGAGTGGTTTCGATACGTCCCGAAGAGATACTACCGCTTGTAAATGTACGGGTAGTCAAAAATGGAAACCGTGTATGTTCGTCATATCTTTGTCATTTAAAAAAATACTCTCATATTTCACACATTAATTTTGTACATCATTCACTTTCCTACCACCCTGCCATATTTCATGATGACCATCGGCTTGACAGTCACAATTTTACAGCACCTTGAAATGCTTCATGTTTAGGCATTATCGCACTGTAGTCAAACCTGCACACGGTTGTCAATGACTTGAATGCATTCCTCAGCACTAATGGCCTGAATGACATGGATGATCTCACCTTTGAGGTCTGCAATCGTCCTGAGGTCATTCTCACTCTATCTTTGCCGTATCCCCACAGTTTGGGACAGGACTTCGGATGCAGGTTTGCCTAATGGCCTAATGCGCTGTAGTGGCCACTGGGCATGTTCTTTAAAGTGCTGTAACATTGTGATCTGGTGGTCATGAAATATAGTAGGCTGGTAGGAAATTGAATGATGTACATATATGTGTAAAATATCAGGTAGTTATTTCTTAAAATTAAATGACAAAGATATGAGTAAAATGATGTAAGGGTTTCCATTTTACAACCCTTAACCTTACTTCCTATTACCCAGTTGCGAGTAGGTAGTTATCATTTTCACCACCAGGTGGCTGATTTGGGGTAGATGACATGGCAGGGTGTGGTTTAATTTTCATATTACCCTATTTGATGGTTATACAAATTTAAATACGTCAGTAAAAGGAAATATTATCTGTCCAATATGAGAAAAAATATTTCCCCTTTTGTGATTTTATAACATGGGGTCTATGGGGAATCTCCCCGACCTAGAAGATCACACTTTCAAAGAACGAACATGAATAATATGACTCAACATTGGCCCGAACGAGGCATTCGAGTATGTGTTTGGCAAGTAATTGCAATAGCAATGTGACAAATATAAATGGACACCGATAGAAATAATGATGTTGAAAAGGTGGCAGTGCAGTAAACGTGCAGTTCATATGCGGCTTCTCTTTTGCTATATAACAATACGGACTAGGCCAAAGAAGGATTGGCTCCCAAAGTGCATCATCAATTTTTTCAAATATATGGGCATGTCGGGATGCAAAATTCGAATCCAAACAGCCGCAATTTTGTTCACTTCAACATTTGACTATCGTGAATTTTGGTCTTTCCAAAACTTCCAAAACTCACAAGAATTGATCGATATATTGGTTCGAATCTTATGAACTATCTATTTTGAATTTATAGTCGGTTATAATTTCAGAAAATAACGACATTTCGACGTTTTCATTGTTGGAAAATATCGAGTTTCGATCCTGGGAGCCAATCTCCCTTGGACTATGAGACCATATGTTCTCTGCCGATATAAAGATGACAGCACCATCAGAATCTAGTATTGTCTTTTTCTCTCATAAAATTGTATAAATAAACACAGATCGATTACCATGCCATCTTTATTTAAAATTATTTCTATCAACCTTAGCCTATGTTCCAGACTTCTGCCATGTTTATATCGGCTAATAACCTATGCAGATAAAGAATTATATCTCATACTAATTTAGTATTCATTCTATCACTACTTCAAGTATTCATTCATCGTTTACTGGCCTACTTGAGCATCATATAAATATTCGAGCCCTCTCCTGTCAAACCCTGTCTTCGCCAACTCTTGAATGGCACCAATATCGACATTTCAATGAAGATGTATATAGGCCTAACTTGAATGTTCGATGACAATTTAAAAAAAGGTAAGAATATTCTATATTCTACAAACTAACATTACTTGACTTCTACCTAAGATGTTCTTCATACCCACGTATCTATTTTGGCGATCATTCCATAGACTCGCAATTATATACCAAAAATGCCAGAAATATGTACTAAATTCGCATTTAGTGTTATTTAATTAAGTTCAAACAGACTATCCATTCAACAACGTGGGGTAATATTCACTACTCTAAAGATCGTGTTTATATTTTAATTATATTTATCTTAAATTTGCCATAAATGACTGTAAATGTAGAAAGTGGAGTTGAAGATGGAGAGATATTTTTGGACACGTCAAATTAGTCTTCAACAAAATATTTTTAAACGATATCCCCGTGTGGCTTTAGAGGAAACCTACGTGGACCTACAGCAAAACGAAAATCATGTATGTTTTGGCTAGTCCTTTACTAGTTGGCTAGTCCTGTACTGAATTTTACAAGGTTAACCAATCAATTTCATCATAGCTTCGTGATTTTATTTTGCTTACAAACTTATATAAGCACAACAATGACGCAATGTTAAAGTCTAATAAAATCAGCTTTTTGCATGATCATATTAGTACTAGTATATCGATTGATAGAATTGTACCATTTATCCGTTATTCAAAAGGAGAAACTGGTTCGATGACTTCACTAAAAAGTTTTATCGACAACTAGGATTTTGGCAAAACAGTCGATTTTCATCAACGAGAGAAATCAGCACTAATAGAGTATAAACGAATTTGAAAATTGATTTGAGGTGCTAACACGTCCTTGTTCAAACGCTTATTGGATTAAGTATTTCTAAAGATTTAACGCTTCAAAACAGACAAAAAAGTAATGAGCTACATGGGAAAACGGTCAAGACGAACATGGATTACTTAGATTATGTTAGTCTTGTAATTTTGTATTTGAGTCTAGCGACGGATTCTTCACTTGAAGGTGAGTATTGTGCGTGTTTTTAGCACTTTTTAGATCACTCTACTATACCTAACACCTAGAAATGCATAAGATATTTTGTTTGTCTAATTGAATTGTTTAAGATACTTTTGAAAGTGCCTTGGTAACGTCTAACATCCAACCGATAAACCATTAATAAGGAACAGACAAATAAAAACAAATACATAATCATTACTAATAAGCCAAATGGGTTGCTCATGAACACCAAATGCAAGGTATAGCAGAGTGCAGTGTAGATGGGCGCCAAATAAAAAAGTGTAATTCTGGTATACAGTACACGTCACCAGTTCTACATCTTTATAGCATTCCAGGGTGTTGTTTACAAAGTAAGCCTACATAGCAAATAAAAATGGGTGATATATTTTATTATTATTTACCAAATATGTAACACTAATCTTGATTGGTCAATCATGGTCACGTGCCATAATATAGAATTACTATTTGTATGCGGCTTCGGAAATAGAACATTTTTGAGGATATTCCCTCGGGGAAATAATTTACCCTTTGCCCCCAATGACAGTCACTATTTGGACATTATCACTGTGACTTGCTAAGTAGATCAATTTGTAGATGTAGACCTACAGTTTGGAACAAAAATAATGACACATGGATTTGCTGAAGTGAGGATTTCCAATGTTAAAAATAAGAGAATTTTTCAAGAGGTCGTGCATCAGTGGATGACAGTATACAAAATGTAAAATATACAAATTTTAAGGGATATGTATCTAGACAATATTTGAGACTATTGGGCTTTCAAAACACTATGGTTTGGATATGGTGATAGAAAATCCACCTGTCATTTGTTTTGTTCCAAACTGTATATATGTTCAAAACATATGTATTATGAAATACCAGACAGTATTTACAGTAACACCAAATATTTTGAGAGTAATGATTTCTTCAGTCATTCTTCTTAGAATTCATAATTAAATTTCTGTTCCACTCCAGAGACCTGTCCAAAGGTGATTGGTAGAAATCCCACAGATCTTCCACGTAGAGGGGGCAACTGGGCCCATTTGATGACGGACAACACATTCGCATGTGCCGGTTACGTAGTGGCTTGGGAATACTTTAGGTAAGATTATTGTATCCTATCGAACTATCCACCTGTCCGGCTAACTCTAATAACGATTTTCACAAATTCATCAAATTTATCATCAATTTTCGACCTTTTGTAATTGAGGAAAAAATTGAGAAAATTTGGAGGTATTGGAAATAAAGTCAAATAACGTTTCCATGAATAGTATAAGTATTTTCACAGCAGGTTAAGTAAATAAAAATTCAAACGTAAAGAGGCTTTAACACGTAGTTCAATGGGGGAGCAAAGGTTGCCAAACTTATTGAGGGGAGTGTACCTATCTTGCCTACAGATAACATTATTAAGATAGTGTCTATAACAAAAATTAAAGTTAGTGGGTCATAACCATCCTTCGATCTTCACACACGGGGCACATTTTCTAAGGGGTGTTTTACCTGGATTTTTCCAAATTTTGGAATTATTGACTCCCAAATCCAGGGTTCAGGATAACCCAAGCTAAATGCACTCCTCGAAGTTTCTCTTTTAAGTTTTGAAACACTGTTAGAACATACCATACGTAGACACTTCTTTGTTAATACCTTGTTGATATCCTAATAATTCTCCTTTCTCTTCTAAGTTCTTCATTTTTCACACTATCTTGGTCGGTCAATTTGATGAAATTATGTAATTGCAAGGGCCCGTCAACTATGACGTTAGATTCAGTAATCCATGAATAAAAGTAATTATGATTTCACAGTATTATCATAGCAGCTTTATAACTTACGTACTGCATAACAGTTGATATTTTAACTTATTTTGTGAGATATGTGAGTATTGTAAGAGGATATATGATTCTGGAAATTCTGGAAAACCGAGTGATTTTATTAAATTTTTACATTGTGAACAATTAGAAGAATATAACAAAAGTATTACCTAATGACAGTTTGGCTAATGGGCAGCCATTTAGATAAACGACTGACATTTTTATATTTGTTATTAAATGTTTTTGCTATTAGTGGAGTGATTTTGTTAATTTTTTTTCTTTATTTATTAAAATCAATGTAACATATTTACAGGTTTTAGTGGCTATGACCCCCAAGAGGGAGTATTAGGTGCCACATAATGGCATTTACAATGATTTGTTAAATATTATAAAAAGTGTACGTGTTATTTTGTAAAGTATGATCTTGTACATAATTGAGAAAATAAAGTGATTTAATGAAAATGATTAAAGGTCTCTTCTACAATAATAATATGTCTTATGTGAATACTTTAATAGAGGGATATGGTTTTATAGTTTTAATACTTATATCCATTGGTAATCTAGTTATCTAAACTTTAAAACTAAAAAGTAGATGCAAAATGTGTGTGTGTTTTTCTTATGCAGTTAACTTTTAGGCAACTTTTTGTATGTCTCCTTCCATTATCTCCATGCTTTTCTTGTAGAAAGTGGCTAAAATATATCGAACAATAAAGAACATTAATATTACTTAAGAAACGATTACGTTATATTTCAGATATCGCCCCACTGGCACAGCGTACATAGGGATATGGCGTATAGACAATGACAACAAATATACACTGATTGCCAAAACTGCTCTACCACCAGCTGCTGCAGGTAAATGTCCATAGTTTTATGTGACTCGAAGCAAACAGATTTATTGCATGAAAGTGGTCAGTGTATTTTATGATTCGTATGATACTTTTTCATTTTAAGAAAGAAGAATTCATAGATTTCCAAAGGAATTGCAAAAATGAATGAATCTGTTTCGTAGTGTAAATTTTCCGCTTATTACTAAATGACAGAAACCCAATTTTTCTTCCAACTTTGTTTCAAGAGGAAAGGTCTATTAAACAAAACTCAACTGAACTTTTGCCTTTCAATCCACAACTGTTAGTATTTATCCCTATACATGTACTCTGGTTATCAAGATGTGTCACCCCTTGAACGTTTCACCCCCTTGAATGTATCACCCCCTTGAACGTTTAACCCCCTTGACAGTTTCACCCCCTTGAACGTTTCACCCCTTGACAGTTTCACCTCTGAAGTTCCCATCCCTCTGATGTTTCATCCCCTGATGGATATTTCAGCCCTTGAGCGTTTCACACTCACGCTTGTATATATAGGTATACTTCATTTCACAGTTTGGGCTATTCATGGATTTTAATTGGATTTAAATGAATCTTAATTTCTCCCCCGCTTATTTAAACTGCGAATTCTGTACGTTAGCAAGGATCATACAGGATTCAAGCGCATGAACTTTACCTCCAGGATTCAGTGGTTTCATTTTTTGCTATGTAACATAGAGTGTAATAATTATTGAGGGTGAAATGTCAAGGGAGGGATGAAACGTCTAAATGGTTAAATGTCCAAGAGGTGAAATGTCAATCGGTTGAAATGTATTGGGGATGAAATGTCTAAGGGGTGAAACGTCTAAGGGTCAAATGTCTGGGGGTGAAACTTCAGGGCGTGAAATGTCTAATGGGTGAGACATCTTAGGGGTGAACAAATTAGGGGTGAAATGCCCAAGGGGTGAAATGTTTAAAAATTACTGTAATGGGTCTACAACTCAGTTTGAAAACAAGATTGCCACAATATAACATATTGGCATTCAGTCCATTGACAAACAGGTACACTCCCCTCCATAAGTTTGGCAACCTTTTCCCCCATTGGACTACGTGTTAAAGCCTCTTTACCTTTGAATTTTTATTTACTTAACCTGCGATGAAAATACTTATACTATTGATGGAAACGTAATTTGACTTTAATTCCAATACCTCCAAATTTCCTCAATTACAATAGGTCGAAAATTGATGATAAATTTGATGAATTTTTGAAAATCGACATTCCCATGTTAACCAATGAAAAATGGTAGGTTGCCGCAAGTCATATGACAGAATATCCGTCCATCAGAGTCCTTGCAAAAAATACGAGTTAGGCAGGCAATTGAATTTGCTAACTTTATTTAACAAAAAATTGATATGTTTCTTCAGGTTCAACAAAATTATAGGGCTTTAAAGTCAAAATTGTTTTTCAAAAAACCTCTCCCATTGAAATAACATAGGAGGCGAAAAATTATTTTCAAAAATGACTTTGAAGCGCTGTAACTTTAATATTCATCAAATAAACTAAACACTTAGTGTTCAAAAAAGTTAGACAATTCAATTTTCTATATAAAAATATTTTTTGCTGAATCTTTTACTGAAAAGATATCCTGATTTCTGATTTGCCCCGAACCCTCCATTTCCCATTGGATTACATGGGAATGACGATTTTCAAAAATTCATCAAATTTATCATCAATTTTCGACCTATTGTAATTGAGGAAAAAAATTGGGAAAATTTGTAGGTATTGGAAATAAAGTCAAGTTACGTTTTCATCAATATCATAAGTTATTTCATCGCCGGTTAAGTAAACAAAAATTCAAACGTGAAGAGGCTTTAACACATAGTTCAATGGGGGAAAAAGGTTGCCAAACTTATGGAGGGGAGTGTAAGTTGTTTTTCCACGTTAATTGACAAGAGTGAAAATTAGAGACCATTGAATGTAAGCAACTGTACATTTTTAACCCCAACAGTACAAAAATATATTCCGTTTGCCTCTAGGTAAGATCTGGTATGAAGTCAACCCCCCTATTCCCGTAAATGAGAGTGATTTCATAGGGATCCATTACGACAAGTATGACCTTGACGGTATCGTATCCGACTCTAGAGGCAACGATGGTGTAGTGACAGAACCTGAGCTGTTTGATACGAAAAACACTAATATCTTTGAACAGGACTTGGCAACTGGGGGCACAATTGACATTTCTCAATTGCCAAACATAAGGAGCACACATGCTTTACAGGGACATCTAGTAGCTGGTTAGTTATTTCGAAGCATAGAATTATCATTTGATTTTAGTTTTAGAAAGTTGAAGCTTTTTGGGATGTTTGCAAGCTTTCAGATCAGTAAATTCATCCTGATGTTGTCATTTTACGTTTCTTTTTAATTTTGGATAAAAATTGGACAGGTTGGATTACAAATATTTTAGGCTTAAAGTCACTTTATACATTCATGTAAAGTTTCTACACCTATGTATGAACAATGAACTATCTATTAAACCTTTTGAGATATTAGACCTCAAACTGAAAAAGTCAAATTGCAATTTCAATTTTCCAAGGTCAAATTTCAACTTGCTTCAAATTGAACGAAAGTGTTTTAAAAATTACTCCGATACGTATCTAAGAAAGAGTGGTTAAAATCTAGTTTATAATTTATTTAAAGTGACCTTATACAGGGTGTCAAATAAGTCGCCCCCCCCCCCTCTACAGCCAAAACCAGGATATTTTGTACCAAGTGTGATACATCATTGAAAAGGTGTTCCAAAGTTACGTTGAAAGGCATATATCTGACACATGTCAATCAATCTCACAAAATTTACATTGTATCAATAGAAACATTGCGATTTGGCGCATTTGGCAGGATTTTAAGAATCGGGTATAAGAAAGGTCAAGGGACCAAAAGATGACTGAATATGTTTATGGCAATGAATTTAACCAATTTCTGAATAGGGTTAGATGTGTAGAAAATAGAGGTGCAAGGAAAGTGGTGAAATCCTTTTTGTAACAAGGGGAATGCGAAAAAGATTAACTTTTTGACGTATTCCTGAGGTCATATCCTTGTCATTTTTACGCAAAAAGCTATACTCCCCTCCATAAGTTTGGCAACCTTTTCCCCTCCATTGAACTACGTGTTAAAGCCTCTTTACCTTTGAATTTTTATTTACTTAACCTGCGATGAAAATACTTATACTATTGATGGAAACGTAATTTGACTTTAATTCCAATACCTCCAAATTTTCTCAATATTTTTCCTCAATTACAATAGGTCGAAAATTGATGATTAATTTGATGAATTTTTGAAAATCGACATTCCCATGTTAACCAATGGGAAATGGTAGGTTTGCCGCAAGTCATATGACAGAATATCCATACACCCGAGTCCTTGCAAAAAATACGAGTTAGGCAGGCAATTGAATTTGCTAACTTTATTTAACAAAAAATTGATATGTTTCTTCAGGTTCAACAAAGTTATAGGGCTTTAAAATCAAAATTGTTTTTCAAAAACCTCTCCCATTGATATAACACAGGAGGCGAAAAATTATTTTCAAAAATGACTTTGAAGCGCTGTAACTTTAATATTCATCAAATAAACTAAACACTTAGTGTTCAAAAAAGTTAGACAATTCAATTTTCTATATCAAAATATTTTTTGCTGAATCTTTTACTGAAAAGATATTCTGATTTGCCCCGAACCCTTCATTTCCCATTGGATTACATGGGAATGACGATTTTCAAAAATTCATCAAATTTATCATCAATTTTCGACCTATTGTAATTGTGGAAAAAATTTGAGAAAATTTGAAGGTATTGGAAATAAAGGCAAGTTACGTTTCCATTAATATTATAAGTCATTTCATCGCCGGTTAAGTAAATAAAAATTCAAACGTAAAGAGGCTTTAACACGTAGTTCAATGGTGGAAAAAGGTTGCCAAACTTATGGAGGGGAGTGTACTTAAAGGAGGGCACGTTAACTATAAAAGACATCATATAAATATAGGTAAATTTAATCCAAAATACTTGATAGTTGGTGAGTTAACATAACTTTGGATGATCTTTCCAATGGTATATCACACTATGTATCGTCTGTTAAGGCTTTAGCTGTAGCAGGGGGACGGGACTTATTTGACACCCTGTATAAACATTTTATCTGTTTGGTAGTTATAACTTACAATCAATTATACATTATTCGATTGCTATATTAATTACATTACATGGTCATAAAATAAATTGAAAAAAATATAAAGTAAACAGTCAACCATTAAACATAATATAATTGAACACAAAATAAAACATACAAACAACGTTAAAACACGTTTTGGCCCGATAGCTCACAGTTTGACCTACTTATAATGTTTATTGTTAAACGTTGGAGTTAAATATGTGAGCTGCCCGACTACATTAATTGTACAGTCACAACATAACAAGGGTGTGGTGGGTGGGAGGAATTTTTGAAGGTTGTGAACCAGCAAAAAGCTGTTGCTTCTTAGAATACAAGAGTAAGAAGTAACATGAAAAATTAAACTCTGAACGTATCAACTAATGCCTTGGTCACATTTGCTCCGATTTTCACTACGGCGCCCGGCCGATCGAGTATTTTGTTCAAAATTGAATACAATATTGAACAAAACACTAAAATCGCCCGGGCGCCGGCCGATGAATCGGAGCAAATGTGACCCAGGCATTATGGCCTAGTCACATAGCCCGGCCGATGTCCGGCATCGGTAGAGCTCGGTGGATTTTTTTGGTGCCACCGAGCTCTCCTCATCGGAAGCAGAGCTCGGTGACGTGAACGGACTCCGTCCGGACATCTTCAGGCGACCCACCGAACACCGGCCGGTGACCGTACGGAGTCTGTCTCAAAATGGTAGTTTTTTCTGCCGATGTGGCAGCAACTACCGGCCGGAGGTCGGCCGGACATCGGAAGGAATACGGCCGGTACCCGAGCAGGTAACAGGACACCGTGCGATCGCCGGCCGGGTTGTTAACGGGCTTTGAACAGTGACCGGCCGATGCTCTGTCCCACATCGGCCGGAGCTCGGTCGGAGCTCGGCCGCTGTCCGTTAAAAAACCTCGTCCTCTGGTTGTCTCAGATGCACGGGACACCGGCCGATACTCGGCCGTGCACCGGCCGACGTGTTTTCCGATGTGGTTACGATGGGGCTGCGATGACATGATGAGGGAGCTCGGTGAGAGCCCGGTGAAATTTAACTCCGAAGTTAAAATTTCACCGAGCTACCACCGATGCGGTTTTAAGCAACAAACGCCACGGATGTCCGGCCGGTGTTCGGCCGAGTTCGGTGAAAATTGCATCGCTGGCTCATCGTAACCTCATCGGCCGGGCTATGTGACTAGGCAATTAGTGTATAGTGAAATGATACTTAAAATTGACGGATTGTTGAGAAGGAGGGATTAGATAAAATATGTTATGGCCATCAGAACTATACACAAATGTAAGCAGCTGAATTCAGTTTTTTCAGTTTGGGTCACATTTGCGACGATCCATCAGCCGGCGCCCGGCCGATTGATTGTTTTGTTCAATATTGTATTCAATTTTGAACAAAATACTCAATCGCCCGGGCGCCGTAATAAAAATCGGAGCAAATATGACCACCGCATTACTGTTAGTGGTTGTTTCAGTAGAATCAGACACCCGTTGAAATAGGCAAATAGTCTTGTTTTCCCTTTCTCAATTCAATCTCTAACTTATCACAAATTAGCCATGTCAACGTGTTTATAATGCACGCAGTTCAAGATGCAATTGACTTGCGTGTTCTCGGTTTCTCTATACAAACTCTAACTTATCACAAATTAGCCATGTCAACGTATTTATAATGCACTCAGTTCAAGATGCAATTGACTTGCGTGTTCTCGGTTTCTCTATACAAACCCTAATTTATCATAAATTAACCATGCCACCATTTTCATTATTGCAGAAAAACTTTTAATTTGACAAGTGAAATTCATTTGATTAATGAATAACCGCATGTAATATTACCAACGGTATCGTGACTAGTCTTATCTCTCCGTTCTTGAAATAATGTATACGTACGAACTACGAACATTCAGTCACGTTCAGTCACGTTATCTATATCTATTGGAGAGTTTAAGCTAGCAATGTATTGCTATTACAAATCCTGGGCGTTCTCATTTTTTCAATGTTTCCCCCAAAATTCTTTTTTTACGATCAAAATGATATCAAAACTTATTGTTATATGAAATTCATTAAATGGATTATATATGGTAAACAAGCAATATTCGGAGCAGAACATTGACAAAATCTAGCTGTGAAATATAGAGGTTCTTATATGAGTTCATGTGCAAGATCGTTCATTCTTGATGAGCTTGATAACTCTTCTTTTCCGAGTTGAAGTCAAATGAGTCAAAAATGGACGATATTGCACAGGTACGATACAAGAAAGTTTTTCCCACATGACTCTGTATTATGCCGTGTTGTTGATGTTTATAGACAAGTGATGTCACATGTAAATCTCATCTTGACTTTTTTATCTTCATGGGGTAAAGATGACCGTATCTTTGTTAGTCATATGGGAACATGAAGTCCATCTATCCAAATCTGGAAACATTTAGTCCCCGATCTGATTTCCAAAAGGGCTCTAGAAAAGGGGTTTTGTTGTCCGGTACTTTCCCACATAAAATGATTGTACCGTTTGAAAGAACAGACTTCCCTCTTAAAGAAAACACCTCTTCTATTGATGTAAACAGGGGCAAAAGGCACCAAAACGGGGTTAGACAAGGTGACATTCTGAAGTCTCACTTTCTTGTCATCACGATTCCAGGTAAACCATTAGACGGATTTACTTCAAATTTTCACACATGTTACATGGTAAGAAGTTCTAGAGCTGATTAACTTTGCGGTGGCCATCTTGCATTCTGGCGGCCATCTTGGAATTTTTTTCAGATAAATATTGTCATCGCGATTCCACAAAAAACACATAACAGATGTACTTCAAATGTTCACACATGTAACATGGTAAAAAGTTCTAGACCTCATTATTTTTTCGGTGGCCATCTTGCATTCTGGCAGCCATCTTGGAAGTTTAAAGGTAAATCTTGTCATCACGATTTCAGGAAAACCAAAGGGATTTACTTCAAATTTTCACACATATTACATGGTAAGAAGTTCAGAGCTAATTAACCTTTCGGTGGCCATCTTGCATTCTGGCGGCCATCTTGGAAGTTTTTTGGATAAATCTTGTCATTGTGATACCAGGAAAACCACTTTACTGATTTTCTTGAAA